GTTCCGGTTTCAGAACGGGCCGTTTGGGTCCTGGTGTTTTCAAAAAAATTCTCATCCACGTGGATGCCACGTACTAAAGGCAAACAGATCAAGTTCGCCTTGTACCTCTTCTCATTCACAACAATTAACAAAGAAATCAACACAACAATCAACACAACACAGAGCTCAGCACAACAAAAGCTTAAAGGGACCACCCCCACAGAGTGTTCCACTAGACTCGAACTACTCTGATACCACTAAAGTGTAACGACCCGACTGGTCACTACACACAGCACAATACACCAGAACACCACACAGAAAAGAACAAGTATATACATATAGTGTCTAGAATATATATATATATACAAGGTCCAAATCTGGCTAGAGCTAGAGTGTACAAAATACATCCAGCAATAACAGCACCGCATAGCAACAATAACAGCACAGTATAGCGGCAATAACAGCACCGCATAACGACAATAACAGCAAAATTCAATAATATACAGCACAGCACAGCAAATTAGCATACAGCAATAACGGCTTACAGCTTAGCTAAACAACTTACAGCACAGCAATATCAGCATCCAGCACAGCTAAACAACTTACAACACAGCGATATCAGCATCCAGCACAGCTAAACAACTTACAGCACAGCAATATTCATCAACTACAGCTCAACATCATAATTCAGCATTATCAACTAGTCAGCACAGCAATATTTAACAACTACAGCTCAGCTCAGCATATCTATCAGCACATTTCTACTCATAACAGCTTAACATCAAATATCATGTCTGCGCCCGGCGAGCTCATGGTCGCGCCCGACGTGGCACAACTAGAGAGCACTAGGGCTCAGCGCACCCGGCGCAATTCCCATTACGCCCGGCGTGCTAGGAGGTAGAGACCTTAGAAGGTCTCACACGCCTGGCGTGCAAACCCTCGCTCGGCGTAGGGTAAGCATAGACTTCCCCAAAGTCTCACGCCCAGCGCAATATAAATTGCGCCCGACACCACCTTTGGCAGAGACTCCCAAGGAGTCTCCACGCCCGGCGAGACAAGGTCACGCCCAACGCCACACCAAAAATCCCCAAGCAATGTCACTTACTGATATCGCGCCCAGGGCGGTCCAACCACGCCTGGCGGGGGCCATCCAGAGGCTCACACCCTCAAGCTCGCCCGGCGCATACACCACTGCGCCCGGCGGGCTTGCCCAATGGAGCCCTCTGATGGTCACGCGCCCGGCGCGAAGAACTTCGCCCGGCGGATACCCAGCAGCAACCCTCAAACTTCGAAAATCTCTTCCAAACCTGCACCAAATCAGCTTTCCAAATACATGCAATCGGCCCAAAACATCACATTTTCATCAAACAACCCAAAAATCCCAACTTTACCCACATGCAACCACAATCAAGAAAACCTCAAGATTTTCATCAAACTCGAAAAACCCCACTTCTTTCAAACTCAGCTTAAAATCATCAAACATTTAAACAACCAAGGAGTTCCTAGAACTCGTTTTCAGCCAAAAATCTACAAAAACCTAGCTTCCCTTACTTGAAGATTGGATCAGGATAGCCAAGAAGCGGAATTCCATTTCCAAAGCTCAACCCGGAACTTAAATCCTTCAAAAGTAAGCTTTATAGTCCAGAGCCCTTCTCTCTAGAACTTCTCTCTAAAAACCTCCTCTCCTCAACTGCCCACAACCTCTATTTATAGACATTCGAAGTGGCCAAAACGGCTTGTACCGAATCTGGAACGGCCCGTTCTACACTCCTTCATCATGTGCAATAATCACATGCAGAACGACCCGTTCTAAAATCAGAATGGCCCATTCTCCATCCAGAACGGCCCGTATTGCCCTCCAGAACGACCCGTTCTCCTTATAGAACGGCCCGTTCTCAACAACGATTTACAAGTCATTTTAATAGTTTGGAACGACCCGTTCCAGATTGGGAACGACCCGTTCTGGGCTACTAAAACACCAACTTGCTACGTCACAAATCAAATGAGAAAATAAATGAGAGAAAAATTATGCAAATAAGAAAGAAAAATATTTTTAAAAAAAATAGGCAAAAAATTGATTTTGAGATGAATCCTCGATTATAATTTCAATAGATAATAATAAAATAAAAGAAAATACCTTGTGATACTAATTTTTTCAATCAACACAACACAGAGCTCAGCACAACAAAAGCTTAAAGGGACCACCCCCACAGAGTGTTCCACTAGACTCGAACTACTCTGATACCACTAAAGTGTAACGACCCGACTGGTCACTACACACAGCACAATACACCAGAACACCACACAGAAAAGAACAAGTATATACATATAGTGTCTAGAATATATATATATATACAAGGTCCAAATCTGGCTAGAGCTAGAGTGTACAAAATACATCCAGCAATAACAGCACCGCATAGCAACAATAACAGCACAGTATAGCGGCAATAACAGCATATGAGATTATTCAAACAACAAACATTATTTTTAAGGTATTCGTAGTTGATTATATATTGTATAAGTTGAAAGATGATCACATCTTACTAGATGTGGATATGAAAATCCTAAACCCTAAACCTTAAAATATTAAATTAGACATACAAATATAAATGTTGAACTCAATGTTTTAAAAACCAAGTCGATCATCAAATCGGTTTGTAAATCAATGGTCAAACGGATGTGTTATTAATTGAACTGCATGATCTAGTTTTTATTAAATTAATATATATATATACACACACATGTTATATATCATACTTATGTGTATTTTGTAAAATATAAGTACAAGATTTTATGGCGTAGTGGTTAATGAGATCACCTTTAACCTCCGTGACTAGGTTCCTTATCTTGCTTGTAAGAAGTTTTTGTATTTGACTACTTCAATCATAAATCACTTAGCATACAAGCATTGAGGACATTAGGCATGGAAAAGAACAATTACGAGGGAAAATTCAAACAAAATAACACTAAACCAGTTGAACCTTTAGCTCGTCGGGTAGTGGTTCACTCGTAAAACTAGCCAAGTTATATCGATTTATACTGGGTCACTAACATAACCGATCTAATGAAAGGCTCGAACAAGCTATACTATTGATTCCTAGTTCAATCAATTAGAGCCAATTTTTAAAACTATGGTTGAAGGTTAATATTTATACTAGATGGACCCATTATGAGAAGACTTCATAATACATTATGCAACTGCAACTGTCATAGATGTTTATCATGGCAACCATAGAAGAGTAGTTCTTTGACTTGAAGCCACTACGATTCCTGCATATTAGAGTTGTAGGCTTCGATGCTATCAAACATTATTCATAATAAGATGTCTATAAAAGTAGTTAATTGAGTTTGTAATGAATCATGTGAAAGATGTGACTATGTGAGGGATGTAAAGAGGATTTGTCCCTCCTGCATAACAGATGTGTCTTGGACCTCTCGATAGAATGAGATGTGAAATATGTGTGGTCACACAGAAATGAACTAATATTGGATATTGGGTCTGTGCAAGTTTGAACATGTACTTGAGTATTGAGAAACATATGATTGGATTTTACAAGAATGGCATGCTTATCTCTCATGTTCAATCGAAGATATATGGATGAAGAAACAAATTACCCTAGGTAATCATGGTTGAAAAAATGTTGAAATCAGATTATCGATTTATTCTTTTCAATTGGGTGGCAATGACTCATTGCTAGATGTTAAACTTTTTCTATAATATTTAATATAAAGATGCTAAATATTATTATCAATTAAGTGAGAACCTATATAGTCACACATATAAAGTAAATGTTTGAAGCAAAGTCATTAAATTAAATACGAATTAATTTAAGGATCAATTAATTGATTATGATTTAATTAATTAATTGGCAGATAATTCAATTAAATGGACAAAACATTGGACTTGTATTGGACAAGGCAAACAAGGAGGAAAATTAGGTCAATGATAATCAATTAATATACAAGTTAGCCTAATCATAGCTATGTTTAGATATGGTATTAAGCGTCTCTTGATAAGTATTCATGCCTAAAGGGACAAAATTTGTCTTCTTCCTTTGTGAAGTGAGAAAAAAATTAGCTCAATCTATGATAGGTAGACATTGTTGAAAGAATTTATGATTTGTAGACACTCTATGTTAGTAATAACAATAACTAAAATAATAAAATAAAGTACTAGAGACATCATAAACAAATGAAAATTTTATGGAGGCAAAAATAATTAGATGAGTATCTTATAATAATTAGAACATATTTTAACCTTCTTATTTATTGGAGTCTAAATGAGTTGAATTTATTAATTTAAGGCCTAAAATTTATGTAAGAACAACATTCTATTATCATAATCTTATCTTGAAAATCTTGCTCATGAATATTATTCTAAGTTGATGAACTTATATGTCAAGATAAAGGTGAACATTAGATGAGTTGAGACTCAAAATCTCGAATTCAAACAAAACTAATCTCTTTAAATTCATTTTGTTTTTATTTGTATAAGTAATTAATTTGAGTAAATTTCAGGTTAATCAAGTAGTAGATTTGTGCGATTTGAGTCATTTATTTTGGATCTTGTCAATCTTTTAATTTTTTTTCTTCATTTTTCACTACTTAAATTTTTAAACTAGACTGCTTAGAAATTTAACTCCAACAACTAAAGACCAAATAAATTTCATATTTTAATTAATTATAAATCTAAACCCATTTTCTCTTTACCTAATGTTGGAACTAGGCCACAAAGATATTATTACATGGCATAAATTTAGAATATTTAAAACATATTAGCCTAAACACCGGTGTTGGAATTGAGCCATATCATTATGGGTCTCACGTTTTTATTGTATTATGTTCAGGCGAGTTGGGTTGCGGGTTTTACCCAACCCTATGTCAAGATTGGACCTCAAACATAGCCCAAAACAAATATTATTTAGTATTAGTTGAACATTAAATATTTTAAATTTAGTGTTAACATCATACAAAATAAAAACAATAACTCTGGTATCTTAAAATCTAGATAAAAAAAGGTGTGAAATAATTTTTTAATAGGAAAGTGAAGAAAAGTTGGGCCATGCAAGTTGGATGCAGGTCCAAATGTGGCGAAAGAAGCGCGTGCAATGCACTTGCTCTTGGCACTTAACGGGACCGTCACCACGCGTGACGGCAGATACCAGACCAACTCACGGAACGCAGGCTCCGTCAAAGCCTCGCACGCACACCTTCTCTCAACGCCGAACGCCCTATTCTCTTTCCCTAACGTCCCCGACGACGCCGTAACGTCCTCCCTCACCCCTTATGGCCTCTTGCGACGACGACGACGACTTCTCTCTCCTCCGCGACGACAACCACCACCTCCACCAGCCCTACGCGCCGCACCACCACTTCTCCCCCGCCGCCGTCCCCGTCCCGCCCAAACCCGTCTCCGAGGACTACGCCAACCCCTTCGACGACGACGGCGCCAGCGAGAAGCGCAAGGACCGCGACGAGATCGGCGAGGGAGCCTCGTCCTACGGATTTAATAAGAGATCCAAGCCGCCGTCCAGCGCCGCTGCCGCCGCCGCCGAGTACCGGAAGGACCGGGAGGAGTGGAGCGACACGGCGATCGAGTGCCTGCTGGAGGCGTACACCGAGAAGTTCACGCAGCTGAATCGCGGAAACCTAAGGGGAAGGGATTGGGAGGAGGTAGCGGCGGTGGTGAGCGAACGGTGCGAGAACCAATCGAAGAGCGTGGAACAGTGTAAGAACAAGGTCGATAACCTAAAGAAGAGGTATAAATTGGAGAGGCATAGAATGAGCAGTGGCTGCATTTCCACCAGTCTCTGGCCTTGGTTCAAGCAATTGGAACAGATCGTCGGAAATTCTCTCTCGGCGAAGTTCTCCGACGAGGATAAAGCGGTTGTTTCTGCCGGAACTTCTCCCAGGCAATCGAAGAGGTATACTATCAACAATCAGCACCGTAATGTTTAATAGTTGTGTTGATGCATTTGCATACAAGTGCTAGTTGTTCACACTTGACATTTTAGTGATTTCTTTAATAATTACTGCATTATTATATTTGCTTGAAGATTTGTTTGTTTGTTGTGTGATTTTGGTTTGGTATATTTCTTGCCTATTCTATTCATTTGCTGCATCATAGTGTGCATAAATGCTTAATTTACTCGAGATGCTTGAAGATTGGAATATTGTAAAGCTTTATGACATTTTTGATTGCTTTGTAGTACCACTGTGCAGCATGTTATAGTTGTAGAATGTTGGCTTTAACGTGATATAGGCTTTTTGTCATGCTATTCGTGGACAACTTTAGACTTTGGAATTGGTTCTTGGGATAAATAGGGGTCTGTGGTTTTGACTGAATCTGAAAACTTGTTTTCTTCAGAGGTATTGCTGCATTTAAATAAGTGTCATGCTGTCTTCACTGGCACACTTCTGGTTTATAAATCACATGGGAACTTGAAACAGTTGGGCGTTACTTTAGTTGTTATCTGTAGTACGTTATTATCTTGAATCTTGATGTTGCATCCATTGGTAAATTAATTTGTATATTGTTACGTTTCATTGTGCTTTGTGTCTGCAGAGGATTTGTCCATTCTGTTTTGATTTGAGTACCCTGCTTGTCCTTGTATGTAATTTATGCTTCCTTCCTTTTAGTACAGGTGTGCACATGTTATATTTTGTAGAATCTTAGCATTAAATTATATTGTCTTTTAGTTGTGTTATTTATGCATAAGTTTAGACTTTAGAATAGGACTTTGCAATATATATGGGTCTATGTGTTTCACTGATGCTGGAAATTTGAAGTTCTCTTTGGTGATGTTGCAAATAAGTAACTTTATCATCGCTGGCAGTGGCATGCTGCTGGTTCACGAATCACGTGGAAATGATAATTCCAATTTGTAGTGGCAGGTGGTGTTACTAGGATGGAGTAGCAAATTGATCGTGTTGTTATTTTTTTTGGAGTATTAATTGGTTTTCTCTTTACTTTTCCTCGTCTTGTGGTATGATGTGTGAATGTTTGAGCATTCCACTGCTTTGTGTATAGATATGGAGTGGCAACGCCCACCACTGGAGGTCAAGCTAATAGCATGAAGTCCAAAGCATTGTCAAACCTTAGATGGCGAAGGGTAGTCCTCAAAATTAGTGGAGCAGCTCTTACTGGATCTGATACCTGCAATATTGACCCTAAGGTTTGTGGTTTATGGTTTGGGTTTACATATGTGGGAAATTTGATAATATTGATTGACTCATGACCTCTTTAGTCTTTACCAAGTGTCTAATTGGTATCTGGATGTTGTGACAACACTTAGTCCATTTGTTTGTTTAAATTAATTATCAGGTGGCCATGTTAGTTTCAAGAGAAGTTGCCATAGCTTCCCGCCTTGGTGTGGAGGTATCAGCTCTCCTGATTATTCTCTGAAGTCTGTTATTCTGCTACCCTTTTCAGTTTGGCTGAAGCAGCTTGTGATATTTCAGGTGGCGATTGTTGTTGGAGGTCGTAATTTCTTCTCTGGAGATGCATGGGTAACTGCAACAGGTTTGGAAAGATGTACTGCGTACCAAGTAGGGTAAGGTTAATTACTAAATTTTTTTACGCAATTTCTATTTACACCATTGTAATTTTACTAGTGATCAATTGTGAAGAAAATAAATGGAAAAATAGTTTATATATCAGTGCAACCATCCATATCCTGATCACAAATGGATGATCCAAAACAAAGAAGATATATTAAAGTTGTGAAGTGGGATAGCAAGTACCTTGGTGGTAGTGCTGGAGAAGGCCACATTTGGAAAGTGAACTCTGACTTGATTAGTATGGGATGTTGGTAGTGGCATTATAGAGCACTTAACTTGTCCGGGTCATTAGACTACTAAGATGACAAAGATTCTCGTGATTTTGAAAAACTAAATTGGAAATCTGATATTTGGAGATCTGGGTGGGGCTGTAAATGGGGGTGGGATTAGAATGACCAGGCAAATTTATTTGTCATGTGCTTTGTCTATGCTTATTTTCTCTTCCAATTGTTTGTGCCTCTGTTGATTATTTGCATAAACCCATTCTTCCCCTTTCTAGAGTTGCACTTCTGACCTTTCATTTAGTTGCATATTCAAATCTGGGGAAGTTTAGATCTATGATGAATAAATTTATATTGAAATATGTATAACCATAATTTCTTTTGTAACAGTTTGAGAGCTGCCAATTTGTGTTATTTTTATATTTCATTTTTGTGTTCTTGGAAAAAATAAATATCTTTTGATGCTTTCACTTTGAGGCTTCCTGTTGTGCTCTGGCAAGTATCTTCTTGATGCCTTGCACATGGGTAATCTTGGGGCAGGTGTTTTCATGGCCTTTATTTCGTTGCTTGTGTTGCCATAAGATCTTTTTAATCTTTCTGGTTAATATATCATCTTCCACATTGATTTGCTTTCATTTCTACTTTTCTATAAAATATTGACCTAACTAATTACTTTTTGAACTTGAACATGCCAGCATGATGGCAACCGTGATGAATTCAATATTGCTCCAATCGACTCTTGAGAAGATGGGTGTTCAGACTCGTGTACAAACTTCAGTTGCCATGCAGGAGTTTGCTGAACCATACAATAGGCAGCGGGCCATCAGACATCTGGAGAAAGGAAGAGTTGTTATATTTGGTGGCATTGGTTTTGGTGCTGGCAATCCACTTTTCTCAACTGACGTAGCTACAGCTCTCCGTGCTTCAGAGCGTATGATGCTATCCTATTTTGTTTTTAAATAAATTTCTAATTTCTAAATACCATTTCCACTCCACATTATCTGCAGCTTATGCAAAGGGGCAACGCATGCATATTTGTTTTGGGTTTTTGTTTTTGCAAGCATCTGCATATATCTCTTTATACCTTGCAGTGAATGCTGAAGCAGTCCTCAAGGGTACTAACGTTGATGGTGTATATGACTGCAACTCACGAGATAACAATTTCACTTTTGAGCACATATCCTTTAGAGAGCTGGGATCAAGAGGCGTCACCTCTATGGATATGTCAGCACTGACATTCTGTGAGGAAAATTCTATTCCTGGTTAGTAAGTTGTTGCATTTGGTGTCATTATGAGCACGTTTCAGGTTTTAGAGCTTTAGGTATTCTTGCAAAAACAATACACATGCACCTCCGTCCCTATCTAGTGGGTCCCAAATAGTCCCTATTGTATACCTATACCGTCAGGCGCTGTCAATTGAAGAAAAATCCTTGGTGCTTAGTCGTGGTTCTGCCAGAGTTAATATTTTTGCTTTTATGTTGAGGTTTACGAGTATCCAACATTATTTTCATAAACTGATATTGAAGTAGCTGCCAAAGTGGACATTTTATTTATTACATATTTAATTTTATTTGATGAATTTCTTTCGTCCTTTAATTGTGCAGTTGTGGTTTTTAATCTCCTGGAGCCTGGGAACATCTCAAAAGCTTTGTGCGGAGAACAAGTTGGCACACTAATTGACCAAACTGGAGCAATAAGCTAACAGTTAATTCAGTCAGTTCAATTATTATTATTCACACTGGAGTCATCAAGTTGAGTGGGATGCTTGGCATGACCGAGATTCTTGTAGAAGAACATATCAAATCTGGACAGATTCAGAGCGTGTGTGACTAAGTTAGTGGAAATTGTACTTTGGAACTGTAATCAAATTCCCTATAAATGATTTTAGGTGGTGGTTGTACTTTTAATAAACGTCTGTAGAAAGAAAAAAATGATGTTTTTGTACATTATTCCTAGATGAATTGTAGAATAGTAATGTGTTAGCAGTAGTCACCCTTTGTTAGTAAATGTAAACAGACACAGAGTAATTAAACGTTATTTATCATTGCAATTGTACTGGTCAATAGTCATTTCCCCTTGGCTGAAGAGATGAAAAATTAGGAGATAGAAGAGTTATTTTGGTTCAAGGAGAACCTACTTGGGACCTTAGGAAAAGCTCATGAAACAAAGTTGTGCATTGCAGAATTTGAATTCACGCGCTTCTATAGCATGTCTTATAGCTCTACTAAGCTAGCTACTATTTCATTTTAAAATTAGAATGAGATTATCGAGAAATAGTTCATGGCTTTCTTGCCTTGTCTCAATGTGGAACGTGAAATCTTAAGGTTTGGAATTCCCATGTTTAATATTTAATTTGAAGCTACTCGTTAGTTGCAAGTTGCAAGCTATTTCTGGCATGCGGTTAATTCATCATGAACCTCCATCGAAATTATATGTCGCGTGCCTAGCTTTTGAAAGCAATTTTAAGCATATTGGTGCTCCTAAAACGTTTCCATGATTTCAGGATCGCATACCAAAGTTAATTTTATCCAATGATAAAACTTTATTTAATCAATTCCCATTCACAGTGCTGATGACAATAATGCTGATGAATTGTGTCAAGACGACAGTCCACTTAGGCAAACTTCAAATGTACATTGTAGTACAATTCAACTAGAGAATACTTGTGCTGCGTTCATTCAATGGAATTCCACAAAACTCACAAATTTTACAAAGAACACTTAAAACAATGAGCATAGAGACAATGCAACTAGAAGAGGAGCTAATAACTGCAGTGGAATATATGACATAAATTAATCTTATATATACCAACATTAGCACTCCTACGCTAGACCATCTTCAGTGGTGGGAATGGAAGGCGAAAGCGAATTGCGGGATTCATCATAGTCCTCCCCAAGAGGCGATTGCTCCACCCTGATATCCTCAATCATCTTGACAACTTCATCCATGGTTGGCCTCTTCTCAGGCTGCGGCACCACACAAGCCAACCCAACATGGAGCATGGACACAAGCTCCTCCTCAATGTTCTTATACCGCAAAAGCTCTTGGTCAAACACCTCCGCAGTCCACTCCTCCTTCACAACGGAGCGAACCCACTTGGGAAGGTCCACCACCGCTTGTTCCTCTTCCTCCATTCTTGGACGAGCCGGTGAAGGATACTGCGACGAAGGAGCCCTCCCCGTGAGAACCTCCAACAGCAACACGCCGAAACTGTACACGTCAGCCTGCTGCGACAACCTCTTCTGTTGCTCCTGTTCTGGGGCCCTGTACCCCCCCAATCGCGCAATGGCGTGAACCGGGTTCAACAACAGTGATAAGCCGAAGTCAGAGATGCATGCAACGCCGTTCTTGTCCAGAAGCACGTTGGAAGATTTCACGTTCCCATGAGGCACTTTAGCTGCACTGTACTCTCCATGAATCTTACCAAGACCTCTCGCTGCCCCCAACACCAAGCTTATTCTTGTAGTCCAATCCAACGGAATTCTCCCCGGACCACGGTTCCCTATCAGTATCCAACAAATGCAGAATTAAAGAAAAATTGAAACAGCTTTTATCTAAGTTAGAAACGGTTTGAGAATGAGTGATTATGACTAACCATGAAGAAGAGCATGCAAGCTTCCGTTGGAGAGATAATCATAGACAAGAAGCTTCTCCTCCTTGGCATAGTAATAAGCTTTGAGTCTGACAACATTGGGGTGCTTAAGCTTCCCAATGACATCCATATACTGTTCAAACTCATGCCTGGCGCAAGGGTTGGCGTCCTTGAGCCTCTTGACCGCGACGGTGCAGCCATCATCAAGCACCGCCCTATACACCGTCCCCAAGCTTCCCTTCCCAAGCATCTCTGCGGACGCACGCAGCAGATCCTCCAACTCAAACTCACTCCTCCGATCAAAAAACACAAGCCTACTCCTATCAGTCCCACTAGTCCCATCACTCTCACCACTCGCGTAAACCTTCTTCTCACTCCCACCACCGTAGCTGCTCCCACTCTTCCTCTTCCCATAACTCTCCCCACTCCCCACCAAACTCGACCCTCTCCCCCTCGCACAGCAATGCGCCACCACGAAAGAAGTCACCACCAACAGCGCCACACAGTTCGCCACCACGATCGCCACAATTGCACCAGGACCCAACCCCTTACGTGGACCCTCTTTCCCCGGTCGAGCAATCACGCTTGTTTCCGGAAAAGAACTAGGGTTTGAGGGAACCGTTTCATCCGGTTCATTATCATTATCATTATCATTATTACTATCACTAGGGTTTGGGGTGAAGGAACAAACAGGAAAGGGTGTAGCACCGCATAAACCCTCGTTACCGGAGAAGGTTGCATAGCCGAATTTCTTTAGCATGGGGTTTGGTAAACGACCGTAGAACTCGTTGTTTGTCATGTTGAGTTGCGTGAGGCTTTTCATGGAGGAAGAGAGGTCGGGGATTTGTCCCGAGAGAAGGTTGTTTTGGAGTCTCAGCGTTATGAGGTGCGTTAAGTTGGCGAGGGAATCCACGTTGCCGCGGATGTTGTTGTCGGAGAGGTCGAGGCGGAGGAGGGACCCGAGGGAGGAGATCTGCGGCGGGATCTCGCCGGAGAGGTCGTTGGCGCCGAGGTAGAGGAGGCGGAGGTTCGTGCAGTTGGCGAGGAGGGGCGAGACGGTGGCGTTGAGGCGGTTGTCGTGGAGGTCGAGGAGGCGGAGGTGGGTGAGGGCGGCGAGAGCGTCGAGGGGGCCGCGGAGGTTCAGGGAGGGGAGGGAGAGGGCCGTCACGCGCCCGTTCGGGGAGCACCGCACGCCCCGCCACGCGCCGGAGCAGGCGTCGCCGCCGGTCCAGTTGCTGAGGAGGTGGCCGTGGAGGTCGCTCCCGCGGCGGAAGAGGGTGAGCGCGTGAGTGTCGTTGTGGTGGAGGCTCCACGTGAGGAATGGTAAGAGAAACAAAAACAACATCGTGAAGAATGCATGGTGAGGAACCTCCTTCATGTTTGTTTGTCCTAGGGCGGGAAGTGAAGTGGAGACAGACAACGTTGGTGTGTGTTTGAAAACTAGAGTGAGTGGAAGTGATTCGAGTTTAGGATGTTGATATTGATAGGGTGGGATGGATTTTCATGTGACATGATTATGATTATAGAGAGTGTGTTAATGTTATTGATTATTATATGTTGGGGTGATTAGGACAGAGGGAGTATATATGATGATTAAAGGTAGGGAAATGGTTGTGTGAATGATTGCTCTTGTCCATTCTTCTAAAGAAAAAGATCCATGACCATGAGCAACCTTCCCTTTACTTGCTTTTTCTTTTTTCTTGGTCCATTCTGCAAAAGGGCAAAAGATGAGAAATATGATCTTGTGCTTCTTCTTGATCCTTGTGATCTCAAAATATTGTCCCTGCTGCTGCATCTTTATAGTACTGTAACAGAAGAAATTTAGAATGATACCATTCCACTTCAATAAATAATATGATTTATGTTGTGAATGAAATTGTATACTTTAATGTGCCACAGCTACTTTCTTGCCTTTAGTTATACAAAAGTGATATACTTTGGCTGTACTATATATAATGTGGCGTAATAGGGTGAGATTCCAAAGCCTAGCACCACACCATCTTAAAACTGCTAAAATTAATTGTTTTTCTCCCTTTAACGAATATTTAATAGAAAAAACTAATATATGCTTTGAAAGATTAAATTGATGTGGCAATTTGAAAATGATTTTGAGACCAAAGGGAGGCTGGTGCTATGTTGTATCCGACAGTGTTACGTGGCTTCACTATATTTAGAGATCTCAATCGATATTTCCACTGACTTTTAGATGAAATATGTCAACTACGCAATCCGCAATAGCACGAGCAAATATAATTTGGTAGGTATGGACGAATCATAGCTACAAAGAGTACAATGGCTGTATACATTAATTATATATCACTTTGTTATGCAATACTAATAGTTTTTAAGACAATACACACAACTTGATGTTGGAGGACTTTTGAATTTGAACTCCCATACTGAAGAAGGATACATAATACTTATAATTGTTTTAAATTTGAATTTGAATTAGTACTTTTCATGTTGAAGAGTTAAAGTTATTATGTTTAATTTTAATAATTTAATATAAACATATAAAATGATATAAAATTATAATTCAATGATTAAATTTACAAAATTTATAATTATTGAACGATATAATATTTAATAAAAATTACACCGGTATGATTTGAATTCTCGTTTAAAATGAAATGTTTTCATACCTCTAATGTTCACAATCTTGGTACTATTAAGTAAACATCATGCTTTTGATAAGATTCTAATAAATATGAATATACCAAATCTTGGTGGCTAGCTATAGCCCTCTAAATGTTAACATTGTTTTCTTTATTTTGTAAGTGTAAAGGAGGTAGATTGTTGACAATCAAGTAGCTAGAAACAATTCATCATAAATAATTGTAGTTGACTTTTGTTGTATCTTCTTTTCTTTTCTTGAGACGTTCATAATATTGCCACTCCTTCTCAAAAATTTGTTTTCTCCTCATTAATAAAGGGCATGGAGAACCAATTCTTAAGACAAGAGGAGTAGGACCACACGTAACAAGTTATATTTACTTTTGACAATTAGAAATTAACTGAAAATTAAAATTGGGTGCATGCAACATTTTGGTGGTTGGAGCTCTTGTCACAATATGCAAGAATTTATTGTATTTTATTTTGAGAATGTTCTGGTGGGGAAAAAGAAGCATTTGAAATCCAATGGTCCACAATTATAACAATCCTTTGTGTTGTTGAGCTGTGGACCACTAAGGCATGGACTGTGTTGATTTGCAACTTTCACCTCATATGTTTAACCCCGAATGAAAATGATTTAGTTATTTTAGTAAACAAATTAACTTTTGAGGCTTTCAACTAAAGAAAGTGGCTCATTATCTGATTTACCTGCTGTGCTCCTCTTTTCTATGTCGTGGAACAAAAAGAGGCTCTCCACTTTATGTCAAGAGCAAGCAAAGTTTTTCTCGCACCAACCCCTCAACATTTTAGTCATCAAATTCAATACATGCATGCTAATACAAACAAAAAAGAAGCATAACTCAAGTTTAAACATGTTGTGGCTATTTAATTCAAAGGCACCAAAATCAAATGCACTACAGTCAAAATAATTTGAAAATGCCCCAAACAAATTGATATATAATATTAATGTAGTTTTAGTTACCTTTTTCCCTATAGTTTTATAAACATTAACTTTTACTATCAATAGTTAAAATGTTCTATTTTAATCTTTGTAAATACTATTTTTTTTCTTCTTCTTTTTAGTCCTTTTACACCCCCCTTTTTTTTTTTCCATCGTTTGTACTACGTTTCTTGTAATAACGAATGGGTTACACCAGTCCTCCACTGAGCATTCACCACAGAAGTATATGTTGGTAATGCACTAATGCATGCCTCAAAAAGTGAGGGAAATGTTTCAGCTTTTTTATTGTTAGTTGTTACATTTCAATGACACACCAAGCTTCTTTGGCCCAACGAACGTGCAAAAGCAAAAGAAAAATAAAGCAGAGAGCAGAGATTGAAGGCGAGATTGGTGTTCTAAATCCATAACTTTATATATTTTGCCCTCATCAACTCAGCAACACTTTAAAAAGCACCACACAGTATTGCATGCAGTCGCAGTAGGGAATCAAAATCTGTGTTTCTTCTTTCAATTGCTTTTATCATATTGGAAAATGGGCAAAGAACACATTTTTTTTATCTAAGAACATTCTACTTAGGTAAAAGCTAAAGCTCTGCATTTTACTCTCCAATTGTCTATTTGGCTACATATTATGGGTGCCAAGCCTGTCAACAACCATGTGTTACTGTGACTTTAATTTTTTCTTTTATGGTACAGTCTAACTTTAGTTATGTGCTTCATGTCAGGACAAAAGAATAATCAAATAGCTAGAGACAAAAACAGTGTCAGATCACAAAGAATGTCATATTAATTTTCTCTTGCATTTGCAACAACAACTGAACTGCTATGGTACGTGGTTATTGGGAAAGGAGCAAATTAAGGTGGAAATTCTGGAGACAAGAGGCAATATATATTGTATAATTTGCGACAATTTGCCAACAATACGTTTGATACGAAGGTTAAAGGATCGTAACTTTTTTTTTTTTTGGCCTTTTTCCCTCTTAGATATTCTCCATAGCCTTGGAGTGGAGAAGGGGTCCTCTTGAAAAAGGCTTTCACTTGACCTTAATTATTATGCAAATGTTCAAGGCAAGCCTAACCATAACCAATTAATCTTGTTAATTTATTGTTAACATGTTGAGTAAATTGCACTATTTTTTTTTCCTTTTTCAGAAAGATATTTAAATTATATTTCTCGTCCTATTTAATTTTAAAAATAAATAAAATTTTAGAAATAACAAATTGTACTATTTAATTCATTGTAATGTAAATAATATTGTTAGAGATTTTCCCTCTCTTTTATTTTCAACATCATTCTGGGTTAATTTTGAATTTCTATTGATTTTGTGACTTTAACTTTAAAGACTTAATAATTATTTTTGAAGTAAGTACATTTTTTTTAAGGAAGTACATCTTTCTTCTTCCCTTATGTATATGTAAAACCGTTTATTTATAGAGAAATTTCTTTATTTAATTTAATTTTCTAAAAATTATATTTATTGGACCTTAGAAAATACATATAAATATATCTTCACATGACGGTGTAATAAAAATAGAAAGGGATAGCTAGCAAGTATGTTTGTTTATTTTTTTAATATATATATATATATATATATATATATATATATATGAGATTTATAAAATTCACATTTTATAAGAATGAAGTATCAAATCATCTTGGATTAATATAAAATTTTGTATATATGATTTTAGAGTAAAAAACTTTCAATCTAACGGTTGGATTTACAAAATTCATATTTAATACCCTAAACCCTAAACCCTCTATATATATATATATATATATATATATATATATTATTTTTCTGTGTTTGTTAGGACTATATTTTTAATCAATTTTCTTCCATTTTTAATAAACAACATACTCTTATTTGCTTCTTAAAAATTACATTTTTAAATAATTTTTAAGAATAACTTTTTTTAATATAATTTTAAATAAACTGACTCAATTTGTGAGAATATTTATGAAATGAGTTGAATATGTTTTGAAATCTATCATAATTGAATTCCCTACAAACTAAAGGACTTATAATAACTCGTAATTTGCAACTCTATTGGTGAAGAGGAAAATCATTTGTTACAATCATCTTATTTTTGTTAATTAATTGATTAATTAGTTTGATATTAAATTTAAATATGATTTGAGCAAATCTAATCTAAAGTAAAGTAGTTTGGATTGAATCAATTTTTAATTTTAGTATTACTTTTAATTTTTTTAGAGAAATTAATATTAAATAAATGATAAGATATATAATAACCACAATAAAATTAATTTAAAATATAAAATAGCTTATATGTAAGTCATTATAATGTTAATTCTTTAAATACCTATTATAACCAACAAAGGAAGCCCATTCTCTAATCTTAATTAGTCTCTTTATTCAAATCAAATCTATATCAAGATCTCTCATGGTTGAGTCTGAAGTATCTTATTAAATCAAAAAACAATATGAGATCCTTTAGAAAGTTATGTTTTAATGTTAATAAACTTAGTTGTCATGTTGCTTTTGTAGTTGGTAAAAGCAAATCTTGACCACCTATTTTTCATAGCATCAACTGCAAGGTAGGGGGTGATCATCATTAGTGGAAAAAAAACTTTTAAAATCGGTTATTTTGAACTTTTAAAATCGGTTCTGTAACCGATTTTGAAAGAGTCGATTTTAAAAGTTAGACTTTTAAAATCGGTTAAACAACCGATTTTAAAAGTAAACTTTTAAGATCGGTTGTTTTATAACCGATCTTAAAAGTGCAGCTGTGGAAAAAAAATAAACTGGAACGGGCCGTTCCAGTCTAATCAAAATGCCTAAAACTTTAACTTTTAGAATGGGCCGTGCTCCAGTGGGAACGCCCCGTACTCCTTGGAAAACGGCCCGTACTCCTTGGAGAATGACCCGTTCTCCCTGCAGTATGGCCCGTACTCCCTGCAGTACGGCCCGTACTCCTTGGAGAACGGCCCGTTCTCCTTGCAGTACGACCCGTACTCATTGGAGAACGGCCCGTTCTCCTTGCAGAACGGGCCGTTCCAAGTTCGAAATTTTCCCACACTGCACCTACAACGAAAATAGAGACGAGAAAAGCGTGAAAAAACGAAAAGAGACACAAAAAAATTATGAGAAGACGAAAATGAACACGAAAACGATAACAAAATTTACCTTATTGGAGACTTTAGAAAATGAGAGC